GACATAGATATTCCACAACGGTCAACCAACCCGTCATGGTGTCCGTAAAATTTAAGAAGGAATGATTTCAACTTCACCACTTGAAACTCTTGTTTAAGTAGCTTTCTTGTGAGCAGCAACCCTCAGTCAAGTCATGATGCAGACTTAACTGAATCAGTTGTATCTTTTATTTCAAGTTCGATAGGAAAGATGCGTTCAAAATAGTCACCAAATGTTGATTTTTTTATTGAGAGAACATCATCTATAATTTAGATATCCATAACCATTGTTTGCTGTCTTTCATATTTGTTTTGCTTTAAATCATCCGTTGGATTTTTCGTTTGAATTCTTTCACCATTTGTCAGTCTTGGTCTTTTATAGCTGCCGATACTGTGTTAGTTTTGCTTATCGATGAAGGCCTTACGGTGACCTATATCTCCACGTCATTTAGACTCTGTTAGAGAATTGTCTCATGTGCAATCATACCAAAGCTCCTAATTTTATAAAATGTGCTTATCTAGTATTTGTTTTATATGAATATAGGAATATGGCAGTTGTTATCAAATAGTCCGTTTCTATGTATGTTGGCGTTCGTTTTTTTTTTTGCAGTTCATTGTTTCTGTTGTTCCGTTGTTTTCCTCTTATAGTTGATGTGCTTCCCTCTGTTTTACCCGGATTTGTTTTCTCTTAATCGATTTATGACTATTGAACAGCGGTATACTACTGATGCATTTATTTAACTATGATCCATTGTGATAAGATTCAGTATACTGATATTCTAACTCGAAAACGAAGTGACAATACCGTGACGTAATACGAAGAACGTCAGGACAAGGTTTAATTGACACATATCATTGAAGAGAAATTATATAAAGCATTTTATTTCCCTTTGAAACAAACAACCGGGGGGTTGATTCAACATTTTTTTGCCTAAAGAAAACGTACCCATTTTAATATAACATCACTGAAATTCAGTACCTATAGTTATATAATATTTAAGAAAAAATGACCTATACTAATAAACAATATTTAAAATATGACCTATGCTTATATAAGCTCTAAACCAGTATTATCTCTCATAGTTCAAAAATTATATTAATTGACATCGTTTGGGGCACATACATTTTATCGTTATATATACGAATGGCTGTTGAACTTTCAAATAAACTCATCATAGATACCAGGACTGAAATTCCGTACTTTCGCCAGACGCGTGTTTCGTCTACAAATGACTCATCAGTGACGCTCGAAAAAAAAAAACAAAGTTAAAAAGGCCAAATAAAGTACGAAGATGAAGAGCATTGAGGAACAAAAACTCCTAAAATTTTTACCAAATACAGCTAAAGTAATCTATTCCTGAGGTAGAAAAGCCTTAGTATTAAAAAAATTAAAGTTTTATAAACAGTTAATTTATAATTATGACCATATCAATGATATTTCATGTCAATACAGAAGTGCTTACTACTGGGCTGATGATACCCTCGTGGAATAAAAACTCAAATGAATTTATTTAAATTGATATAATTATTGACAATGAATATTGTAAGATTTTCAATAAGTATATATGATGTAGATTTCACCCCTGATCAATATACAGTTATCAAACGTAAATATATGATGTCATTAAAAAGGAGGGTAATTTTTATATAAAATATCGCAAAATTATGACCCATATTTCTGGCACATAACTCCATACCCTACCCCCACCCCCACCCCGTGGAAACAACATGTTTCATCTTCCAGCATGTCGAATTTAAGAAGGCATATTTAAATACACCCCATCTGTTTTGAAATCACATTATTAACCTCTGTCATGCCTACTGAAGAGTCTCGAGTACAAATGGTCATTCATTTATACATATCTTTTAGTAAAGGGACGGAACTCACATATAGCATAACTGACTTGTGTTAAAAATGTGGTAATAAATTCACAACTCTTTTTTTTATCACAATTAAAAACTGCATGCTCCTATTGCACTAATAGTATTGTATCTATGATAGAGTTAATTGTCATTCACACATTTGTTCACACACACGCCACATGTGGAGTAGGATCTGCTAAACCTTCCACAGCACCTGTGATTTCCCCAGATTTTGGTAAGATTCGTGTTGCTCAGTCCTTAGTTTTCTATGTAGTGTTTTGTATACTGTTTTTTGTCTTTTGGTCTTTTTCTTCTTTTGTCATGGTCTTGTCGCTTAAAAGTTTCAATATCCCTTCATTATCTTTCGCCTCTCTTTCAAAAAGTTTATTATTTATATGTCGCTCCACAAAACAAAAACTGAAACATAAATAATTCTGCAATATTTTTTTCCATTCAAATTTAGTCACATAATAAGAAAATCATATTTCATATATCTGTAAGTATATACAATGTATTCTCCTAGAAATCATGAATCATCAACAAATTAATTGGATTTAACATTTTATCAAAACTTATTTTATATTTGTAAAACTGTACTTTATACAACTTCAAACAGGCATTGGGAGTCCAGACAGAAAACTGGGAGTCCAGACAGAAAACATTCCGCAAGAGAAAAAAAATCAAATTACACAAAAAGAATACTTTGCTCACATATTAGCCAAAAGGGTCATGAACAATATTGTCGGCACCGTCATTACATCGTCTAAAAGATTTTCTCATTTCAATCTTCTACAAATTTGTACTTGCCAACTAGAACCAAAGTTGATTTGTTTTGGCGTTGATTTGAGTTTTAAAATAGCTACAAGGGTCAAAAGTGTATTCTGATTATATAAAATTGCTACGATGTATGAGGTTTTTGCCGGTCTAAATTCCAGAGAGTCATCCTCATTGAACAAGGTTTAACATAGAACTGTGCGAAAGACACGGATAAAGCTCTACTCAGAAACTACCTCACACATTTAAACGAAAAATTGCAATAGTGATTCTAGATTACTATATTATTTTGCAGCTTCTGTTGCCAAAATGACTGAGATAAGAAATTACCACCACGGTGAAACTTGAAATAATCTCGTAACAACAGTACATACATACAACTTCCTAGAAACCACCTCACATGTAAAAATCAAATCATGCATCTAGGGTGTTCCTCTACTAATTTGGAGTTTTAATGGTCTCTACTTTGAAACATCAAGTTGGAAATCCATAGAAATGTCTTCTTCTCTAGAGCTGTCTTAAATATTATAACCAAATATTTAATAAATGACACTATGTTTATGATGTGTTTTTGCAAGTTATCTTAATCCAAGATGGCTGTATCCGTAGACAAAATTTTAACATGAAACCCTATGAGAAACACACAGAAAAGGCTCGGAAAACATCAGTCGGAGCACCATTGTGCATAAACTTTCTGGAGAAAATAGTGCCTTACAAACTGACACTAATAAAATAATGTCCATCGACACCAATCTACATCCATACTTGTTTTCTAAAACAAAATTATATGACACTCCAGCTAAAATTCTCTGCACCGTGTATTCTTTTTTAGGGGAGAGTTGGAATTAAAGAGAAGACACTGAGCTAGGGTTGTGTGGGTTTCTTTCTTATATACAGTATTGCGCCTGTGTCCTGTAATTGCTCAACTTTCTTTCAAATTTTTTGAGTGATCGTTTAACAAAGTTTCTATAAGACCTCCATATATTCATGTGGTAACTCATAGTCATTTTCGTTCTGGTTCACTGAATCTTTATCTGTGTCTGCAGATTCATCTTGTAGATATGTCGAATGCTCTCCATTTTGGGAAACATCTATATCAACATATTGGGAAATTGGTTCTGTTCTTTCGTATGCATGAAACGTTGACAATGTGGGTTCTGCTGCATAATATCTGAAACAAGTTTATGATTTAAAGAGTTAGCAATATTTAAACTTTTTATTTTTTTGAGTTACTGTGTTTTTTATGTTGATGTTCAAAAACATTTTCGTTTCTTTTTTCTGTTTAACGAGAGTCATTCTTATTTGATACGTGTTACATCACCCATTACAAAGGCAATATAACTTTCTTGGACATAGAGATAATGATAGCCTAATGTAATTAACATTTTCACCACTTATTTTATACACGACCGAAGACCTACACAAACAATTAACTGAAATACTTGTATTATAATATTCAGAAATACATCTGAATTTGTATGACAACGGTATTATTATATGATATATGTATAAGCCTAAGGCCTTTTATCAGGCAGTGAATACAAATATTTTATTAACATGTCTTAAATGTTTTTTTAAATACTCAGTAAATGCTGGTTGTTTTTTGTAATACTATAGAGCAACCACATTCCCTTAAAGAAACTACTACAGATCTTCATATACGTCAATTATTTAAGTTAAATAGAAATTATTTCGCAAATCAGTCTTTATCAAGCAAATGTATCAAGATGTAATGATTGTAGGTTTTTAAACACAGGGAATTTACCTTTGATTTGCATTTGTTTATAATTAAACTTAATGTATGGTTTTTAATCTTTCGTGGTTTCCTATTGGATTATTATTAAAGGCAAATTTGCAAAATAAACGAACACAAAATTACAAAATGGGGACATAGAACGAAATTAAAATTAAAACGGTAATCCATAATAATTTCTGAACAAATATCTTGAACTCTGGTGGATCATTGGCAGTTAGATAACATCTCCTTATTTTATATTCAATATAAAGAAAAGAACATAAAAAGCATAAATATAACAACCAAGACCGTCTAAGGTGAATTTTGCAAATTTAGCTTTATAGGAAATGCATAATTTAATAAAAAAGAAATAAATGGTTGAAGAACATGATAGTCGGTGTTCAACGCATTATAGTCTTTATTTTATCAACACAAAAGTCATTTTTTTTATACATTTAACCCAACGAAACAGATAATTTACTACCAATAAACCTTTTAAATCTCGAAACAGACAGAGACAGACCGTTTCAAGAAGTCAATCAAAACATATGGTGCTTTTATTTCTAATGTAGTTGAGGTTTTTTTCAATTATTTCCGCCAATTGTAATTCTTTACTTGTAGTTAACTAATCTTTTCTCTCATTTTTTAAGCCAACAATATTTCATAGGGCATATGAGGATACACATTAGTGAGCAGTTACTTACAGTATCGACTAAACTGCATGAGATATATAAAGATTGAAGATTGAGGATATACATGATATAGGCTCAAGACATTGGAATGACATACACTTAACCGTCGGACAATATTATAGTCATGTATATCTTTTATTTGTTTTCCCAACAATTACCATGAAGTAAAAAATGCAAAAATATTTTGTTAATTGTTACTTATATTTTGCAGAGTAACATATCAATAAACTTATATACTTTACCAGTGGACACAAGAATTGTTACACCACTAAAGACTGAATAGCAATTATAGATCCATTATTCTAGCAGTTTAAATTTGCTTATACTGAAATGTACACCTTATCTTTTTTTCGAAATGAAAAATATTCTATCTCGGTTTTGATGCCATCAGAATCAAAATTTTGGGGAAGCGAAATAAGAGTTGTAAAATGTTGAACAGCAAACAGACATTATTCATGCCCATTCATGAGAGGATGAAGGAAATCAGTAATAATAGAGCTGAATTCAGATTTTAACGACAACAGTTTTTTTTTCTTCTTTATATCTAATTTCCCTTGATGATTTGAAAGAATATAAATGATATGATCAAAAACCAGTCATTTCTAATACCATGCCGTTCAAAAGATACCGAACTCCGAGGAAAATTCAAACGGAAAGTCCATAATAATATGGCAAAATCAAAAGCTCAAAACACATCAAACGAATGGAGAACAACTGTAATATTCCTGACTCGGTACCGGACCATATGAGTATTTGGACCATACGCGTATGGTCATGACCATATAAGTATACTCATATGGTCGGCCCATATGATTATATACACGTTCGGTTACATGTATTAACAGGCCCGACCATATGAGTATTTAGACCATATAGGTATTTTGCAAATAAATCATAACTTCCTTCGCAGGAACACACAGCTCGTTCTCCGACCAAAATCGGCACAAGTTACTTTCTGAAATTCGTTATCTTTTACATGTTGTCTGAATCTTGGTGTATCTGATATTTAAAGCCTGCCTTCGCTAGAGTAAATTTGATACACCTTTATCTTGTTGACTGTTGGAATGGAGATATTTCTTCTTTCCCCAGTGTTAGGTTATTTTATTTTTATTTCTTCTTTTCCTCTCTCACTTATTTGAAGTGTTCTTGACTGTATTCATACATTCTTACAATAACAGTAGTTTATGCGTGCTGCCCTCTGTTTTTATTTATTTTACATATGAACTACAGTAACTGGTATTGTATGATCCTATGACTATGAGCATAAAAACATGAAAAAACGAGGGTGCAATGCAACATGTGCCAGTGAGTTCAATAGTTAACTTCTTGTTAATTAACTTCTTGTTAAACAGTTTATTTCGATTTATATAACTATATGGAGTTATTTTCTTTGAGAACGATAGGTCATTCTTTCGAAGAATCAACCCGGACGATACCATGTTTCAATGAAATATGCTTCAAAGCACAAAATAATGACCTGTGTGAGGTCAATTTTTTCCTTGATAAAAATGCAAACTATAATATTCTTGAACATTTAATTCGTTTGATAGTTTGTAGTTGCCAATTGGGGAATTTATTTTTTAAAGTTCCATCTTTAATAGGTTTAACAAAACATCGTCATTGACGCGCATTTTAATTTTAGAAACAAATAATGTGAACATGGTGAAGTTTTGTAAATTTATCGCTACAATTAAGGGACGTGTAAGGTTTTCATAACACTTTTTAAAACAAGCCAGATTTAATACATTCGTGTGTAGGATTTTGAAAATCTTATTAATTCACACTGAATAGGAAGTCATACTGTGACCTACATGTATTGATATTCGTTTTCATGTTACATGTACATGTATCACGATTTTGTGTCCCTTACGTGTCAGTTCTTAACTTTTTACATCTATGTATACATTTTACTCTATCAAATGATCAACTGATAACATATTCTATTGAATAACAGCAACGTACCTCATAATGAGGTCAGGGGAGTATAGAGTTCTGATTCTCTGTTTAAAAAAAGTATTGCCATTCAAAAGAAAATAATTCTGAAAGGATCATTCGTTAAAAATTGTTGAAAAAATAATTACTTTTCCGCGATAAAAATTTCATTACAAATAGAAGGAAAAAAAAACAACATAGCACCCCCTTCAATAAACTAAGTAGGTACAATAAATAACTTACAAAGTGACTTGTATTTTTCATACACTGTTATCAGTAGGTAACAATTCATTTTTGTTTTACTTCATGCGGTTACAGTAACATTTTTATTGTGTCTGGATAGTGATTTCTAACATTTATATCTAGATTAATAAGTGAGTTTTTATTTCACTTTCTAAATTCTAAATGAGCCCTAGGGCGTATTAAAACCTAAACGCATCAGAAATAAATATCCCACTTTAGTGTGGTCGGTTAAATAGGATGCTAATTCTGCAAATTCATTTAGAAAATAATATTTTTTTGACGGTATATAAGTCAGATAATGCATATTTTAAGGTTTTTCTTGTCCTTCAGGTGTCAGGATTGCCAAAAGAAAGACCTCCCTACGGTCGGTCTTTCATTTGATCATTCCTGACACCCATCGGCATATTGCGTTTCGTAAGGAAAAATCTCCAATGACCATGCAAAAATAATTGTGCTATAATTTGAATTTGTGAGTAAAAATCATTTAAAATGTAACAATGATTACCATTTCATTAGATAAAGTCACAATTTCAATTTAGAAATTGTTAAGTTATTACACCTGAAAGGTTCAAACATAATGCAACGTACATGTTATTAAATACCCGGACCATACATGTATGGTCAGTCCATTTGAGTATATACGCATATGGTAATGACCATACGCATATGGACAAAATACTCATATGGTCCGGAACATAGTTAAAGCACATCAGCAAAAAAAGACAAGAATACAAATATTTTGCAATAGCACAATAACACAATGACGGGATGTATAAGTACCGAGCCACGTCCAATGGATATTACTAAAAATAGACTAAACATTAAGAGTAATAATTTGAAAAGACAAATTAAACACTATTACATGTACACACAATTAAGATTATAAACAACGTAAGTACCTAGAAGCTATACTTCAAGACCATCGTGTATTATTGTTGAAGTTGATATGGAATAATTATCAACAAGGTCTTCGTATCTCCCGATGAACTTTTTTATTCAAAATGATTTTTTATTTTCATTCACGAGTAATTGTCTGCCAATTTTCTTGTTCACAATTCAAATTTCAATTAATGTTTACCATCAAACATTTTAATTGAACGAATTGAAAAATGCAGTGTCTCAAAGATCAATGTAAATTAACGATGTGGCTAAGAATGTGGTGGCGATACTCTTTTGTTTTAACATTTCATTGAATTAGTGATTTTTAAACACAAGACTTCGAACTAAACAGTTTAATATACGTTCTTCATATGAGAAATAGACTGTGTACACTATTTTCCTGTGTTACTTATATTATGTCCATGCGTATATCACGGTTACTCACATAGCTCTTGAAGAACTAATTACCCTATTCCCTGAAAAAAAATAAAGTTTTTTAATACATAGCAATGTTTAACCGCTTATATTTATCTTTATCTTGATCTATCTATTTACTTATCTTTATTCTTATCATTATTTTTTTTATATTTTTGCGAAAATGACACAGACACTAGAACATCATATATAACGTTTTTCTCAAGTTATCTTCAGGTCAAATCTCTTTAATGTTAGATAGAAAGGTTTGATCAAGGCAATTGTAAATATATCTGAGTCATTTAATGGATTATTTAACTATTAATTAACAATAAACTCATCATAGATACCAGGATTGCAATTTTGTATTTGCGCCAGACGCGCGTTCTGTCTACAAAATACTCATCAGTGAATCTCGAATCAAAAAAAGTTAAAAAAGCCAAATAAAGTACGAAGTTGAAAAGCATCGAGGACCAAAAAAATTTTGCCAAATACAGCTAAGGTAATCTATTCCTGAGGTAGAAAAGCCTTAGTATTAAATGAGGGTGCACTTAAAACACCTTGCTTGAGATCAAAGGTAAATGTCAGTGGTCATCTTCTATCGCAGGCGATACATCGTATCAAATATATAAAAAAAAAATCAGTATGCCAATGGAAAAATGTTGACAAGAAATGTCACTTGAATCGTTTATCTATATCATCAGGTTGAAATTTAAGGTCGTATAAAGTGATTCATGATAAGCAACACACCATCCTATTGTACTCAACATCGCACAAAATAGTATTTATAGGTTAATTAAATGTCAAAAGACATAAACAAAGGTTTGTGAAAATAATGGGTGTACGAAAACCGGAAGAACCAGGAAGACCCATAAGAAGAAGATAGTGGAAAAATACTTAAAGAAAATTTAACTCTTCGTCAAAACGGACATTAAAAGTCAGGTTTAAGAAAAGAATGGTCGTAGAGTCAGTAAAAAAGATGATTTAACTCATGACAATACCTCCTTCGTCTCACTTAACTGAACTGAAATCGAACGAACTGCGCTTTCATTCCTGATATTCATTTCAAAGCCGCGATGAGGCCTTGAGCACGGAGAAAGCGTTTAAATAGAACGTTTATATGGATGCTATCAACGGTTTGGCCGGAATTTTAAGCTTTAGGTCTATAACGGTCTGTCAGTATATTGAAGTACACAGATAAAGTAGACATAAATTATGTTCGGTCTGAAAGGCAAAAAGACATCTTACATAGTGATTATAAAGCTCGAATCCTAAAATACAATTTTTTACTGCATCTGTCATGTATTTCTGGAGTAAAATGACAAAAAAAAAGGAATATTGATGATTTTTTAATAAGATAAAAATTAAAAATAATTTCATGATACAGGTAAGATATGAAGACGTGTAACTCGGATTTGTGTTCTCTCAATCGATTTATGACATTTGAACAACGGTTTACTACTGTTGCCTTTATCTAATAGCGCCTGAAGCCACCCAGTTATGAAATATATACATAGATAGGTAAATATTAAGAATAATAAAAAGCAGTCAAGTGATTTTGAGAATCTCTTGAATAATTTTGTTACAAAGAAAATGACATATTGAGAGCAGTATATTGTTAAAAGTTTTGATTGTTTTACATCACTAGTTAAACCGCCGTACAGTTGATTATGGACCTTTCTGCGTATCGAAGCAAAGTTAGTAGATAGAACAT